TGGGAGAGGGAGAAGCAGGCTTCCCGCGGAGCAGGGAGCCCGATGTGGGGCTCGATCCCAGGACCCTGGGATCAGGACCTGAGCCGAAGGCAGATGCTTAAGGACTGAGCCACGAAGGCGCCCCAATGCAAAATACTTCTTGTCTACAGGCATGCAAATGAATTCTCTCTGCTGGAAAGACAACCCCCCCTTCCCATGTGGAAAAGCCAGTTTGGGATCCATGTGCAAGTTCGTCAAGTACTCCTGATGTGTAAATGTGTCTGTGCTTTGGATTCTCCTTTGAACTGATTGTCACATCCTTCAGGTTTCTTCACTAATGAGTTAAATACAACCTTTAACACAGGTTTCTTTTCTATCTGTTAGAGTCCTTTTTCTTTTTTGCTGAAAATGATCCTTTAACACAACTTCAGTGCACCAGAGCCGACCCCGTTACATTAGGTCTGGGGGAAGAGCCTGAGAATGTGACTTCTAGCAAGTCCATGGGTCGCGCTTCGGAGGCCTGCTTTATGGTTCCTCCAAGGGCATCGCTGTGTTGACAAGGGCCCCATTGCAAGGGGCAGTTCTCCGGGCTTAATAGGGTGCCTCCCAGACTCTCACGGAGACCAACTGAGGGGAACCTAAATGAAGCGAAGTGGGGTCATGAAGCCAAGACTCTTTCCCCAGTGCCCGAGACACAACCTGCCCAGGGCTGTGGACTCTCATCCGTGTGCAGCCACCACTTGCGCCCCTAAAGCTGGCATGTTCTGAGGTGGACATGGGACCCAGAAAGTGTGGGAGTTGGAGCCGCCCCCCCCCCGCCGGATGCCCTCGCTCTTATTCAGCACAGAGCCAGCCTCCATGCATCCCTGCTTCGAGCAAGGGGAAACATGATGTACTGGGCTAGTCTCTAGGACCTGGGACCCTGAACAGGGAGGGAGGGGTCACTGTGGTACCCCATCCTACTACTATCCCTCACCGGGACCACCTTCTTTCCCCAGACCAGGGCCCAGAGGAAAGGGAGACCTGAGGCTGTGACTAGCTGTGACCTGTCTGAGGCGGGGCTAGACTGTTCCCACAGGCTCCAGAAGGCAGGGGTCTTTTTGATTTTTCATGGCCACACTTGAATCCAGCCTGATCTGGCTCTGAAAATGGGCTTTTCTGGCACAGAAGGGGCTGTCCACACAGGCGGAGCTCCTCTGGCCGAAAGGATGCCTGCTTTTGACATCTGACCCTGCAGTGTCGATCCTGCTTTAGGATACCGCACAGCAGTAGTCTTGTGACCCAGGACAAAATACCTAGTCTTGCCAGACCTCCATTTTTCTACCCGTAAAGGGAAACAACACTGATGAGACCTGCCTTCCGGAGCTCTTGTGGGGAGTTCTTGTTCTTCTCCCCGGAAGCGGTAACCCTGGGGTCAGGGCCACAGTCTACCAGCTGTGCCTGCATGGAGTGAGATGGTATGGGAGGCAGAATCATGGCCCTCGAAGATGTCCATGTGCTAAGCCTCAGAGCCTAGGAGTACGTGCGGTTTCCTGGCCGGTGGGAATTAAGCTGGTTGCAGTTGGAATCCGCTGACATTCACATAGGGAGCGTATCCCATATGATCCAGGTGAGCCCACTGCAATCACAACGGTCCTCAAGTAAAAGGCAGAAGAGGAGGTCAGAGTCACGGACTCTGAGAAGCTGACCGGCTGTGGCTTGGAAGACAGAGGAAGGGGGCCATGAGCCCAGGAATGTGGGCAGCCTCTAGAAGCTGGAAAAGCGCAGGGAAGATTCTCCCCTAGATGCTACAGAAAGGAACACGGCCCTTCCGGCACATTGACTGTAGCCCCTGTCTGACTGCTAGCCCACAGAACCGCAGGGTGAGACATTGGTGTTGTTTGAAACCACCAAGTTTTTGGTAATCTGTTTTAGTGGCCACAGAAAACCAGTACAGAGGTAAAGGTGAAGGCCCTTGGTAAACCACGTGCAGAAGCAAGTGTGCTGTCCTTCATAGATGGAGATTCCCCATTTCGCGTGCACATGTCCCACCTTCAGGAACGGCAAAAGGTTTAAAAATAGTCAACAAAAATGGGGATTTCAGTTCCCTAGAAGACAGAATAAACACGTCTCCCTCTTTGGCCTGCTAAGTAGCACTAAGAACTTTGGGCATTATAGAGAACACAAAAATCAGAAAGCACTAAAAGGTGGAGAGAAGGTGGCCGACCAGCTAGAGACTGGGGACCTGGGGCAGGGGGGTGATGTTGAATTCTGTCTTTTGTTTTTGTTAGTGTTGTGCTTTATATACGTAGAACGAGTGCTAGAGAAGCATAAAAGCTGGAGACACCAGTGCGTGCAGACAAGAAAAGCCTCCAGAAAAGCCTGCCCCCTCTAGCTGAAGGACCAGGTAAGAGGCTAGTAAGCACGAGAAAGAGCAGCTCTGCTCCAGCCAGGAAAACTGGCTCCAACCGGCCCTATCTCCAAATGGAGAGTCCAGGCTTTTTTTTTTTTTTTTTTTTAAGGTTTATTTATTTATTTGAGAGAGTGAGAGCAGGGAGGGGGTGCGCAGAGGGAGAGAATCTCAAACAAACTCCCGGCTGAGCGCGGAGCCCCACGCAGGGATCGATTCCACAGCCTTGAGATCATGACCTGAGCTGCAACCAATAGCATGAAACTCAACCAACGAGCCACTGAGGCGCCTCTGGAGAGCCTAGACTTCTATCGTTGCCCCACTGCAACAAGGGGCCCCAAGCCCCCGCCAGGGTGGTGGTAAAGAAACCCAAGGCAGGAGCCTGGACGCCCCCCCACCCCCGCCCGATACCGCGCCCGAGGAGGCGGGGTGAGGAAACGTCTATACTTACCTTGCTGCAGCAGGGGGCGCGCGCTCCTCTCCCCAGCGCTCGCGCACGGGCAGAGGACGCGTGTCCAACGGAAAATTTAATTAAGATCCAGAGTCTCATAACCCAAAATGTCTTGAGAGGAAAATCACTATACCTTGAATGAGAAAAGATAATTAACAGCTAGCAACGCTTCCACGACACAGACTTTGGGATGATCCGACAAGAATGTTAGAACAGCTGTTACTCATTAAAAAAAAGTTTCAATGAGCAGTGATGAACAAGCTTGAAACAAATGAAAAG